CTTCGAACTCGACCGAGATATTGATGAGACAATTCTGTGCACAAAATTTCAGCTCAATCGGATGTAATTGTGAAGAGTTATCGTGCACACGGACGGACGACCGGCCGGACACACTGACCGATTCTAGAGTGTACTCACTTTTTGAGTACACAAAAAAAGATGTCAATGCATTGAGTCGTTTATTATTAGTTTTTCATTAATTTTTTCAAAACAAAGTGTAAAGTGTTTTTGTTTGTCAAATGAACAAGACAATAAATAAATCTAAATATCTGAGTCTTGTTGTTTTGTAGTAAAGTTCTTATAGTTGCCTTTTATCGTAAGAAACATTCGATATAATATTCACTATAGTTTTATATTAAATTTGAAATATGTTAAATACCTGTTTTTTGAGCTAAATATTGAACAAGTGTTGTTTTTCCACAACCTTCAAAAACAAAATAAAAATTTCTAAAACTAAAAATAAAATTCTTACCAGTTTCACCACAAAGTAAAACAGGTTCATTCATTTGAACACATCGTGCAATACGTTCAAGTATATACATAGCTGTACGAGTTTTTGCAAAACAATATTGTTGTTGTAATGATTGAATTTTTCTATCGATTAAGAAGAAAATATTTTTTCATTTCGAAAAATTTCTTTATTTTTATTTTACTTCTTTTGTATTTCTAATTTAACATGTCCAATAGAAAAATATTGACTATCACGATCATCAAATTCTAACATAGATTTTAATGCATAAAATTCTGCCTTAAAAAATAAAGTCAAACTGATGAATAAAGATTTAACAAAAACAAAAAAATAATTAATACTTCTTGATTATTCATATTAAATAATGTTCCAATAGATTGAATAATTTCTAAACGATTTAATTTTGGTAAAAATGATGCAAAACAATCTAATACATCATAAAATGCTAATTGTCTATCAACTGAAAGTGATATTGATAAACTTGATAAACGATGACAACATTTTAATAAATCGCTATAAAAAAAAATTTTTTGTTTATATTTCAAAAAAGAAAAATCACACTTTTTTATTTTACCGTAAAGTAACTAAACGTGTATTTATTGATCCTTTTGTATTTTGTAATGATTGATACAATTGAAATAATTTCATTTGAAATAATTGTAAATCATTATTCCATATTGGAAGATTTTCCATTATCTAAATACAAAAAAAAAAAAAAAATTTATAAATTAACAAAAAGAATGTTTCAAAGTGTCAAATTGCATTTGAATCAGCTAATAGCTTATTACTAATGAGATATTGTATTTTATTATTAGAATAATATAATCTACATAGTCCTTATTCCAATGTAATTTAATAAGGTTTTATTAAAATACCTACTTGAATTATTTCAGAATCAGTATATGAAGGTATAACAATACAAAATACACATTTTAATAAATGTATTAATTCATTTGATTGAACCGGTACACCCGTATCACTAAAATGTAATAGAAGAAAATGATTTTGTTTATTTGATTAATCAAAATAATAACCGTTGTGTTAAAAAAAGACGAAAATCTGGTGAAATTGATCCATATCCAATAGATTTTGTTTCAATTAAACTTTTTATTGTTGATAATACATCTGAACTAGCAGCATCAATATCTTCCATTAATAACCAATGACCTTCAGATGTTGCCTAAAAATAAAAATAATACAATAATAAAAATCAAATAAATATTTACTTCAACAAGTAAACCAGGTGTCCAAATAAATTCTCCAGGTTTATCTGTACATTGATATGTACCTAATAGAACCTAATAAAATACAAAAAGAAAATTATTTAAAAAAACAAAAAAAAACATTTTAATTGTGTCATACTTTACTATCCATATGATCTGAACATTGAATTTTAATTAAACGTTTTCCAATTTGTTGAGCAATATATTCAACAATCAATGTTTTTCCATTACTTATTGAACTATAAATTAATGTTGTCCAACCAAGTGTTACACTTAATGCTATTTCACGTAAACATTTATCTATTGTTGGTGTATAAGTCATTTTTATTTCAATTTGAGTTTCATTATCATTCAATTTTTTATCCATATTATATTTTGATAAAGGAATACCACTAATAAATACAGTACGTTTTTTAAAGTCATTATCAATAAATAAATTATCACAAGTAGATATACTATGTGGAAGAGTCGATTTTGAATTAATCAGATCATTGATTCTAAACAAAAATAAAAAGAACATTAAAACGATTTTTCAAGACAAAATATTCAAAATTTTTATACATAATATGTTTTTGTTTTCTTGAATATTTCGAATACGATCAATAGAATTTTTTTGTCATTCTCATTATTATAGGGTACAACTAGAGTTTGTATTAGATTTTCTATAAAAATAGTTCTCTTAATAAAATTATTAAATCGACTTATATTATTTAAAATAATCTTAAAGGAGCTAGTTAGAAATTAACAAAGACTTGCTTTTTCTCTATCCAAATGGTTCAATTGAGAATTATTTGTTACATTCATATTGGAACGTTCTTCTAAGATATTATCACGCTAACTAGAAATGAACAAATATGTTGCTCAACAATGTTATGTCTACTCGCAAAAAGTCAATAAGATTTATTATAAGTATAAAATTTCATATGATAATCAATCATGTCATATATGATGTATTTTATTAATATGATAAATCTCGTGTCATTGTCAATGAATATATAATTTTAAGAAAGTAAACCTCCTCCACAATAGAAGACTCAACTTGATTAATCTATTTATCTCGAAAATTAGAACTTTAGTTAGTATATTTACACCGAAATCTATCTAGTTTTTAAGAATTTCACCTGAAAAACCATTAAAAACTAAGATCAAAATAATTTCTATGCGTTTAAATCCTAAAAATTTCCTTAGTTTCTTCAAAAACACTTCCAATCAAAAACATAATAGAAGATTCAAAGTTCTATATTATAGAAAGAGGAATATATATCATCGAAACAGTATGCTATCTAGACTTTCTCTTTCAGAAGAGGCGATTTAAAACATCAAGAACGCTGACATCTATTTCTGATAGTCCAGACACATAGTACGTAATACAATAATTAAACACTCCGAAAAAGAGTCAACTCGATCTTCACCCTGAATAATACATGACAAGAATGTCTCAATATTTCTGGTATTATGAAAAAATATTTTTCTTTTTAAGAATTAAATATTAAAAATTTACTTGAAAATCGTTGTATTTGATACATTAGGTCGATATAAATCTTGTTGATTCGATGACATATTAAATACGATTGATAGACAAAGAAATGCTAACCTATTTTTAAATTAAAAAATAAAGAATATAATTTAAAAAAAAAAAAATTAAATCTTCTTTTAAACCAACCATTTGACATTATCATCATCAGTATTTTGTAATAAATGAATAAGTGTATTCCATTTCCATGAATGAACTAAATTTATTTTTGAATTTGATAATAATAATAAACGAAGTGTTGCAACAAGTAAATAAACATGATCATTTATATTATTAACTTTCTAAGAAAAAGTAAAATTTTTTACAAAAAAAAATAAAAAATAAATTTTATTTATATTCATACTGTTTTCAATTTCTTTTTTGGACTTTCTTCATTCCATTCAATTAAACATGTATCTGTTGATAAAAGATGATTTTCAGTTATTCTATTTAATAAAAAATAAAACAAAAAATTGCATTTTAAATCTTATTAAAAATTTCTTACGTATGTAATGAAGGATAATCTTGTAAAATTTGAGCAAGTAAAACAAGAAATCTTTGTTTAATTGATATTTGATTAGTTATTTTATTTGAAAAATTCACTGCTGTATAAAGACGATGAATAAATGCAATAAAATAACGAGGAAATATATTTTGAATTTGTTCACAAAATTTTGATGATAATGAATCACTATGTAATAAATGTTGAACAAGTAAATTTATTAATGAATGACGTTTATCTAAAGACCATTTATCCTTTAAAAAAGAAAAGAAAACAACAACAATTTATTACATAACATTCATTGAAAACTATATGAATTTTACTGTTTGTATAAGTGGTTGTAATTCATCCTTTAAGTCTGGTACTTGTCGAATAAGTTCAAGTAATATTTGATGATGTTCACAATTGATTTCCATTTATCTAAATGATTTCTTTACTTTACTTTTTTGTTTTTTAATTAAATGATTTTTCTTTTAATAATCCAATAGAAGTAATAAGGTAAAATCTAGCATTACTTATCCGATCTTATTTTCTAGAACTATTAGCGACATCCTTTTTTCTATCGAAATATTTATTAATTAAATTATTTTTATTTAAATATGAATAGAAGAAGTTTTTTAATGAAGAAATTTTATTTTAAAGGATTTATTTAATATTTTAATTGGTTTAAAGAAGACAAATAAAAAACTGGAATAAATAAATAAGATTCATCCATACGCACATACACACACTGTAAAAAAAAGAAAGAAAAAAGCAAAACAGAACACAGAACGATAATTACAGTCTGTCTACTTTTTTTTCTCTTTACTAAATGAGTTAAATAAGATGGATATTTTTCCTTAGGTTTTATTTTTCTATGATCAACCAAGCATTAACATTGTCCACATATTTTTCTCTATTCAGTTGAAAAAAAAAATAATAACGGTTAGTAATCTCTCAACTTCTCATTTTATACTTCCATAGGTCGTTTTTCTTTTCATCATAAAATATTATTTGAAACAGTTTTGTTGATATATGTTTGAATTTCTTTTTTTCTCTCTTCTTTTTTTTTTTCAGCACGGATATTTTTGTTTATTGTACAAAAACTATGAAAAAAGAGAGACAGAGACGACAATTATATTCAAACTGACGGAATATATCGATTGCATATTTATATTTACTTTAAATGAATCGATAAACTTGGTAATTTAGTTTTAGTTACTATTATTTGTAGATATGTAATATATATAAGAAAGAAAAAAAATCTTTTTTTTTTTTCTTGTTAATTTTGTGTCTAATCGGGATTTCTATGTCCCTATCCATAATACAATCGTCAGATATGTCTTACTCATTGTATTAAATCTCGAACAAAAAGGAAGAAAGAGAAAACAATGAAGAATGATTCGTCTGAAAAGTTCTATGCTTGGTTCGATGTTTCAAGTAAGTGAAAATATTTTGTCTTGTTTTGTTTTTGTAATTAATATTTCATTTTATTTGTTATTAAAACTAGACAATCTCGATGATGAACGCGGTTGGATACGAAAATACATTGAATTTGACCGAACAAAACGTACATTGACATTGTATTCTAATGATGTATGTTATTTCTTTTTTGCTCGTGATGTTTGGATAAGCAATGAATGACTGAGCTCATCAACTAGTAGTACTAAATTGACCTTCCATCATTCCTTTTCTTCCGTTATGTATGTCCATCATCTCTTGTCGATATTTCATTCGTATGCTATGCTACATATCATCGTATCAAGCATTTTGTATGTGCACATGTGTGTGGGAGAGACACGCACACAAATAGAATCTTTGTTCGTATATCTTGTATGATGGAATCGTTGTTCTTTCTTCTTCTTCTTCTTCTATTCATTTATATATGTACACATTGTCAAAATGAATGCCAAATGTTGAATTGAACGGATCAATAAAAAAAAAAAAAGAAAGAAAAGAAAGTAAGAAATACAAAAGAACACCGATGCCATAATCGAAATCAATAAAAGACTTCCGTTTGTTATGTCTGATGATTACGAAACGTGAAAAATTGTTTGATAAAAAAAAGAAAACCAAACGAACGAATAAAGAAAATATTTGATTTCTTTTTACAAAAATATTAATATTAAAATAATTGTTTTAGTGTATAAATTCAAAAAAACAAGCACCAATTGTTGATTTAAATAGTGAAATGATATCATTATCATCATCAGCAACATCTTCATCGTCATCATCATCACTTTGTACTTCATCAATGTTAACTAATAATAATGGTGGACGTTCATCAGTTAATGTTCGTCGACCAAGTTATATGTTACAATCATTATCAGAATATATGTCACCATCATTATCAAAAGCATTTTTTTCTTCATCAACAACTAATGATGATAAAACAGCTACATTAACTCCATTGAATAATAATCCAATACAATCAAACACTGTTCGTCTTGCATCATTCACGGGTAAGATATTAATGAGGCAAACTTTTAACAAAAAAAAGCAAACTAATGATCATTATAACCTTTTACCGATATAAGTCTTTTTGCTTGATCGTATCAAACTAATAGAAAAGAATATTTGGTAATCGGATCAACTAAGCAGAGAAAATAGCAAAGTGACACAAGAAGACAAAGTTTTTTGCACATGAGAATTCTTTCGCATTTATGTTCGTTATTTATCCTTCACAATAATAAAATTTCAAATAAAAAAAAAAACACTCATATCTGCATCTCTTTCATCTTATACAAATTAAAAAGAAAAAAAAATCTTTAGTATTTTTTTTCTGTTTATTTCGATTATTGAATAAAAGATTGCTCATACAACCGTTCTCGGCATGTCATCGATCATACACATTGTATCATAATCGGTGGGTTTTATATGTCATATAGGACATACTCCGACTATGGAATACAAGCTCAGACATGAACTAGAATATTTAAATCATAGCAATCTTTTAATGAGTATCGAACCTTGAACCTATGATTATATCAATAACTAAAACAATTCGACTAACTTTACCAATCTATTCATCTAATATTCTATCACACATCTGTTTCTATATATGTGTTATCTCAAGACAAATTATCTTACTTTCTCTCAATAGAGACAACATCGTTCCGCATTTCATCCCACTTGTCTATCCAAACATATATATAAATATATATAGTCGTCTAGAAAAAGAAAAAAAAATGAAAGAACGACGGACTCGCAATATGCGCCAAATGATAACCACTAGAAGCCCATTGGCGTGTATGTATGTATGTATAGTATACATACATACGCACGCGTATGTGTGTAATAATAATTGTTCGATGTTACAGATCGATTCCGATTACATTTCAATTACTGTACAAATCAACATATCGAGAGAGAAGAAGCAAAAGAAGAAAAAAAAACAGGGAACGAGAAAGAGAAACAAGAGAAGAAAAAAAAGAAAAAAATGAGAGAAAGTACATTATTCATTTTCTCTCTCGTATTGTTTCGGTTTGCATTAGAACGAGAGAAGAAGAAGAGAAAAAAACAGAGAAAGTAAAAGATACGAACAATTGTTCAATGCATCATCATCATCATCATCATTATTATCGTTGTTGTATAACAACAAAAAATAGATATAATGCGGCATTTATTTAAAAGGTGGGCTTCAAATAATCAACTAATGACAACAACAACCGATAGTAATAATTCTATAGCATCAACAATTTATCATCAAGTACCAATTATAGAAGAAGAAGAGTTTGATGATGATGAAGGTTCGTTTTATTTATATATATGTGTATGTCAGGCGTTTCCGTATATAGTATGACTTCCGTTCATTGAGAATAAATGACACACCTTTGACAAAGAATATATGTCACATTTATGTTTCTTTTACACTTTTAACAAATGAATAGAAAGTGAACAAATGCTTGTTCAAGGTATATACAGCTCTACTTTTCACCTTCTTTTTTTCTGCGTTGTATTTCATGGGTCAAGGTAGAAGATTTACTTTTCTTTTTTACTGGTTTCATTCATTCATTAAAATTCCATTGATAAGACAAGAAGAAGATTAAGATTATTCACTAGAAATGAAATATGTTAATTAGATATTCAAGTTGATTATGAGTTTGATTTTTTTTTTTGTTCATATTAGATTACTTCTAAAAGATTGAGAATATAATAGGATTAGGAAAGTTTTTATTTATTAAGATCTCGTTTTTCACTTAGTAAAACCTACTCTGTTATTTATACAATATAGATTTTTATACTTAAACTAACCTGATATGATTATTCGAGATGATATCTAAATTCATTACTTCGTATAACACCGGCCTTGTGGCCTAATGGCTAAGGCGTCTGACTTCGGATCAGAAGATTGCAGGTTCGAATCCTGCCAGGGTCGCTTGTCTTTTTGCTTATTCTTTTCTTTTTTCTTTTCTTCATATGTTCAGTGTTGATTCATTTCTTTGCTTTTATGTTCTATGTTATATGTCGGCCTTGTGGCCTAATGGCTAAGGCGTCCGACTTCGGATCGGAAGATTGCAGGTTCAACTCCTGCCAGGGTCGTTTTTTTTTGTTTTTGTTTTATTTCTTTTAAAATAATTTGCATATAAAGAAAGGTAGTCTTGATAATAAATTATTTGTCATATATATAGATTCATTATCTGATCGTTTATCATCAATAACAACAGCGACAAATCGACAATCAAAAACAAAATTTTCATATTTTTTTGGTCGATCATCAACAAATAATAAATCAAATACAAATCAACAATCATTACCATCACCAAATATAAATATTGATTCATTAAAACGTACTAAAAGTGTTACAAAACTGGAACGACAAAAACGTCTTCAGCAATCTTTATTAAATTCAAATAATCAACAAACATCTCCATCTCTTCAGTAAATAAATTAAAAATTTCAAAGATAAAAAAGAAAAAAAAAAAACTAAGATTTTCATTTCTTTTGTTTAGTAACATTCCATCAAATCGTTCTCGTTCACATGAATCTCTATTTGTAGTAAACAGTGGTTCTGGTAATGGTCCATTAGGATCAATATCAACAACAATTCCAAGTCAATTAGTATTAGATAATTGTCATATACGTCGTTTACATCCAAGTATATTACAACAAACATCATGTGATACACATGATGAACAATTATCATCATATCAATGTATTCAAATAGGAAATAAAAATGAAAAAAAAAATTATTATTTACGCTCAAAACAATATTCAACTGATAGTTCATTATTAGTTAATAATTTACGACAAACATCATTAGAAACAATAACAAATTTATGTGGTTTAAGAACAGATAATTCATTAGATATTTGGATTTTAGAAGCTAAAGGTTTACCTGTTAAGAAAAAGTAAAAACAAAAATAACAATTTTTTATTTCGATTTTCAATTATAATTTGTTTTTTTCTCTGTAGATATTATGTTAAAATATATCTTGATGATGATATTTATGGTAAAACAACAAGTAAAGAACGACGTGAAATACTTTTTTGGGGAGAAAATTTTACATTTAAAGATATACCAGAAGGTTTGAATAAACAAATTAATTTAATATTAATTTTTATTTTTAATTTAAAAAAAAAAAAAAAAAAGGTTGCTCAATACTTCGATGTAAAATTTATCGTGAAATTGAACGACGTAAACAAAAACAAATTAATGGAAATGATATTGATTTAATTGGTTATGTTGATATTCTATTATCAACAATAACTGGAAATCAATTTATTGAACAATGGTATCCATTACAAATACCATCTGGTTTACCTATAACTGGAAAAGATAAATCACAAAGATTACAAGATGGATCATTTAATATTAGAATTAAAGCTAAATATCAAGCGATTGAAATTTTACCTATTGAATCATATTTACATTTACAAGAAGTTTGTTATCGAAATAAAATAATAAAAAATCAATTTTAATTATATTTTTTTTAGTATATTCGACGAGATTATCTTCGACTTATTAGAATTCTTGAACCACATATTAGTTTACGAGATAAAGATGAAATTGGTAGGTTTTTTTTTTTGTATATTATTCTTCATGCCCGAAAAATATATTAAAATATGATTATTTTTTCATACTATATCAATTCGAATTGATCAGAAAAATTTTATATGCTTTACGGTTTATATCTTCTTTTAGAATATGATAATTAATACATATAGTAAAGTATTGTCGCATGGAGGAACATTTTTACGTGTTAATAGGCTTTTCTGTCAATACCATATACATCATACTGACTTTTATGTACACTGAATATCCTAGAAACAAAGGTCATTGTGATAGCTTGTTTCTGATGAAATATTGAATTTTGTAGGATGTATTAGGGGTGTAACAAGAGGCGGTACACTGATATAAACATATAGACTAATGTGTAGTGTGTTATAAAAATATGACGGTCTTCGATTTCTTTCGATCATTTCAAAAAATGAAAAGAATTTTACAAAAATAGACTGACTTTTTTTTTTGAAGAATCCGAAAATCTAAATCTAAAGAAGATATTTGTCGAAATTCTCAAGTTTGATTTTTTCGTTCGAAAAACGCTTCGTTCTATATAAAATTCCACTATTTTCTTGAAATTGATTTACTTCCACGGAAAAATTTGAAATGAATCTAAGATCACCATTATTCTATGCGTGCATGTCTAGATCGGTGCATTGATGATCGCCCTTATCGTGTATTTGTAGTATATATATATGGGGGTGATCAATTTGACTGGTGCCCCGTTTTGATGCAGTCCTATTGTACGGATAAAATCTACTATTGTCCGGGCCATATAATAGAGGATCCTATATAACCCTGAATTGGCCCGAACAACACCATGTCTTATCCGTATAATAGTAGAGAAAAGCTACTAGCCTCAATCGTGAGCTGGTAGCTTTTTCCTACTATTGTAAGGATAAAACATAATGTTGTTCGGACCAATCCAGGGTTATATAGGATCCTCTATTATATGGCCCGGACAATAGTAGGTTTTATCCGTACAATAGGACTGTATCAAAATGGGGTACCAGTCAAATTGACCACCCCCATATATATTCTTATTGAAATTCCAGATTGAAATATTCCTTTATAAATACGAATGCACAGAGTTCAATTATTTCCAAGATGTTCAATTTCATAGTGAATCATTCTGAGAACATCAATCAGAGCAATGAATATAAAATAATCAATTTCATTCAACTATCTTGTTGTATGAACAAAGCACGACTCTCATTGACTTTAATCGTTTTTTTGTTTTGCAATTTAAAAATTTTATTATTCTTAATTTTCTAAATATATTATGTTATATTATATATATTTGTCAGCAATCTTCTCTAGTCCTAAGTACATAATTCGAATGCCTCCTGTCTTATTTCCGAGAGGAAGAATCTGGTGATATAGAATGAAAATAATCCATAAAATATAGTTTAAAAAGATTTCATTACATCTGTAAAAAATTACAAAAAAATAAAATCATTTTTCCACTGAGACAATATTTGCATGGACAAAATTCGTAATAAGATTAGTTAATTATGCGACTAGTAATTTCTTTCTGAGGGTGTAAAAAAAATTTGCTTTTATACAGGAGAAAATTTTGAATATGTTACTTAAAAAGTAACAATTTCGTCCAATAAAGTAAACTTACTGATTAGTTAGTTTATGGAAAGTTTGAAGACGAAAGTCGAAATTCGATTTTGCACGTAACATGATTAGGATCACAATTTTTTGTTGAAAAATTGAGTAACATTTCAATATGTCGAGAATGAAGACTCGTAAACCACAATCATTTCTATTATTAACTAATACTCATCAACAGAATGTCGTCTTAGTTGAAAAGTGATTTGACACCCGCTGAAATTCTTCCGTATAAATGATTAATCTTAAAATTCAATTATTCGAGCACAAATCGTATTTATTTTACTCTTAATAAATCTTATTATAATTATAATTTTGTTTTATTTTAGCGACATCATTAACCCGTATTGCTCAATCTCTTTCATTTTCTACATCATTTCTTGTTGATATTGTTCAAGCTGAAATTTTATCAACACCTGATAATTCTTTAACATTTCGTGGTAATTCGATTGCAACAAAATCCATGGAAGCATATATGAAATTAATTGGCGAAACATATTTACGTGAAACTTTAACACGTTTTGTAACAGATATTGTTTCATCAAAAAATTCTAATGATATAGATTTAGAAGTTGATCCAGGTCGTGTATCAAATCTTCAAAATTTAGAAAGAAATCAAATAACATTAAGATTATTATGTGAAAAAATTTGGTTAGAAATTCAACAATCACATTCGTTATTTCCTCAGTAAAATATTTTTTTTTTGTTTTTACGTTTTGAAAATAAATTCAATGTTTTATATTAAAGGGAATTAAAACGTATATTTTGGAAACTTCGCCAATTATCATCATCTGATGAAACAATGTTTAATTTAATTAGTGGCTCGGTTTTTCTTCGTTTTCTTTGTCCAGCTATTTTATCACCAAATTTATTTGGTCTTACTCAAGGTAATATGGTTAAAGAAGATTAAATCATTAAAAACTTTGATTTATTATTTAATATAGAGTATCCAAATGAAAAATCATCTAGAAAATTAACATTAATTGCTAAAACATTACAAACATTAGCAAATTTTTCTAGGTAAGAAAATTAAATAAAATCGATTTAGAATGTAAAAAAAAGAAATATATATGTTTTTTTCTATTTAGATTTGGTCCAAAAGAGTCTTATATGAAATTTATGAATGATTTTGTTGGTAAAGAATCGGAAAATATGAGAAGATTTTTAGCTCAGATATCTGTAAGTTAAAATAAGATAATCAAATGATTTGGTTTTTTTTAATAAAATTTTTTTTCTTCAGACAATCGATCATGATTATGATGAACCACGTTTTTCACATAGAAATAATCCTCACGATGACAAATGTGATATTGATTTAGGTTTGTGCTTCCTTTTTTTTTTATTATTATTCATTTTAAACATAGATCGAACTTGGATCCACTCTACCCAAACTGTTCGATCAATTCAGAAAGTATCCGACATTTAGATAACTATCCAAGGATTTCTTGAGCAATATATGAAAGCATCATCTCGACTATTTATGAACATCGTTGGCTTGTTGAATGATGTCTATCTGTAGATCTTCGGAAATCCTTTCTTTTGACTTAAACATCCCTCTCCTTCACATATTTGAAGATTTGGGTCTAGTGGTGAATCCACAGATTCTGATAAATAGAACGATCATATTCATGAAGTGTGTTTTCAAATCTAATGAAAAGTTGTATTGACTTACTGTTGGTTGGTTTTCTACTGAGAAAAACAGAAAATAGTTCGACAGGAAAGGCCGATCACTACTCTTTGAATTTATTCCTATCCAGGTCTTGTGGAAACTTTCGTCTAAATCCTTTGAACTTTTTTTCTCCGTTGAAATATTGCTGAATCATATTTATTAGAGAATAAAAGTTATGAAAGAATCAAAGAGAAAGTATTAGGTTATGTATACATAAGAGAAATATGTTTTCTTCGTAGGACAAATAGAACTATTGATGAAAATGTATATAAATTGTTACGTTTATCGTCAGATTATTAATTAGAACCTAAAGATGATAATGAAAAGACAACGATAGTCAAAACTAAAAATCTAATTTGGATAAAAGTTCATATTAGAAGTTCTTCGAAAAAATTTGTACGCTAAAAAATAATTGAAGACACAGAGATGAGATTGGTTTGACTTTCTCAAAATTTAAACGAAACCGAAACGAAAATTGACTTGAGGTACTGCAAATAAAAATAAACAAACAATGTCGTTGCAGACCCAATCAGACAAAAATTTTGAAAAACGCGTTTAAACGCAAGATCGGGTGCCGCGATTGTAAGCCATTAACGCTCATTAAAAAAACGCACGAAAACGCGTTTATTGGCATTTTTTATAACTTCATGGGCGTTAAAACGGCGACAATTCCCGTTTTTGAGCGTTAAAACGCACTATTATTCTAGAACTTAAAAATAATACGTTTTAACGCTCCA